ATAGTGGATTGCATCCAAAGAGTGGTTCCTGAGGGAGTAGTACTATTCTTAGCTTGGGTCTTCAGCTCAGAGCATTCCTGAGAATGCTCGGTTAATACTTCCTGAGGGCACTCCATGTCTATCAAATACTCTCAAGATCAAGAGTTAATGTCAATCATAAAATAATTCAGGCAAGGTTGCCAAATATCTTCTGAAACAACATCATCATGGTTATGTTCAGATCCAGGCAATATATTGTTCCACTTAATTTATACTGGATTAATAATCGTCTGTATTGTTGGCTCCTGCTTAGCTAGTTTTCTTATAGAGCGTAGAATCACCTGTTCCAGAATGATGCTATCTACAGTTGGCTGGCCCTCCAACATCAATTAAGACAATGAAAACAATCTCTCGTACACATGGTCACAGTACAATATTTATTAGACATATTCAAAATATTGTCAACATTATGAGCTTTGACAACATACTTGCAGCTTATTCTAAATAAAAAATTGTACCATTATTTTAGAAGAAAGAGCATTTAAGCAAAAAATTAGGAAATGCTTTAACTATATATGTTAGTAATTCTCTATATCCTTCTGTAATGATAACATTTATTTTTTAAGCAAAAATTTGTAGGATACTATTTTATCTAACACCTTTTTCCTATTGAGAAAAAGAGTTGGCAAATGTTTCCTTTGTATATAAACCTATTTATTTTGATAAGATTGAAATGACTGACATTAGGCATTCAACCCAATTTGGTAAGGCAATAGATACATTTCTTTTCATGAAATTAAAGAAAAGAAACACTGGGATTATGTAAGACATGAAGACCTAGAAGAGTTAAAAGAAAGTGTATGTACCATCCACTAACACAGATACATTCACATAAATAAGATAAATAATTTTGAAAAAGAATCACATATTATGGGACTTTGAAGTAGCAAGCAGATTACTTTGTATTTCCAACACTATTGCTTCTTAAAGTCCCATAAATCCTAATATACCCCCCAGCGGGAGATAAAAAGTATCCTAAAACAATAAAAATGTGTTTATTTTTCTTTCAATATTAAGAAAGTAACACACCTTTAATCCCAATGCTCGGGGGCAAAGGCAGGGGCAAGTAGATCTTTGTTAGCGTAATGCCAGCATGTACCTGGCCAGCCAGGACTGCATAGTGAGACCCTGTCCAAAACAAACAAGAAATCAATGAAGAGAGAGAGAGAGAGAGAGAGAGAGAGAGAGAGAGAGAGAGAGAGAGAGAGAGAGAGAGAGAGAGAAGACAGAAAGAAACAAAGAAACGAACAAACAAAGAGAGAAAGAAAAGAAAGACAGAGAAACAATACAAAACAAAAGAAATTACCATTGAACTAAATCATGGTTGTAGTGTGCCATATTTTGCTAACTAAAACATAGAATAGATATTACATGTTGGAATGTATGCCATAATGTCTCTGAAAGGTGATCTGAGGCATCCAGTCTGTCCCTGGATAGCAGCAATAACTTATTTAGCTCAATGTGACTATAGAATGTAGACAGTCTGAGTTCAGCCAGTCTGAGTTTTAACTTAGTCAACTAATGGTTTATCTAATTTGGCTGAGATAATATGGTTACATCATAATTTTAGTTAATAAATACAACCTAGTACCTCATATAAATAAATTTACTTGGTCTTTCTATTCAGCAGTGGCTGAGTTGGAGTTGATTCCAATTTTTAAAATTCCAATTTACTTATGTTAGAAATTTGTTAAGACAAAAACGTCCATGTAGCTTGAAGTGTTTTTTTCTTTTCCTGTTGTCACTCTTTCTTTAGGGTTGTTGCTTCACTGTGAAATATGAAGGAGTGTGTGATATTTATACATAAATGAAATATTCCATACCTTAGTAACTTTCTAGTATAGCCATTTGCCCACATTAAATATATATTCCAATATTTTTAAAAAGATGCATCTTTATTAATACATGTGTTCTTTTGTAAAAGTATGTTTTTAATTTTTGCATCCAAGAATATGGGACTCATGAGAGACCATATTTAAGACACTCCTGGAAGAAATCCACAAATATGATGTAGAAGGTTTAAAGACCAACACAAGCTGGAATTACTTTTCAGCAATGGGTTCTCTCCAGGGAAGATCATGTTCAGCTCTCTGAGACATAACTATTTTTTTTGACAAATGAAAAATTAACTTCCCCAGCCATTCCTTAAATGCAATTTTTGACTTTATAATATTTCTCCATTATCTACATATGACATATGTCTCTGACTCAGGGCACTTCCCATAGGCCTAATGCTGTCTGCTACATGATAGACAAAGGTAGTATCTTTCACATCACAAATGCTCAAGACATGTTTGATATTATTATTGCCCATGGGAATGCTATTTCACCTAAGAGAACAGAATCTATTGTCCATATTCTGATGACAATAGTAACAACAATTACCAGTAACAAAAATATGGAGCAGGATATATAACCATTGAAGTACACATAGAAGTTTTCCTTTTTAATTCAGTGCCCTGGATGTCTTTCTAAACATGCTTACAAGCTAAAAACCTAGCTCTTGACCAAAGATCTGGTAGGTAGAACTACCAGTTGATGGATGGATGAACTATCTCCACTTTTCTGCCAATCTGATAGTTTCCACAATGTCTAACTTCCTTATTGAACTATGAAGCTCAGGTTGGAACTCAAATGTGTTTTTCATTCCATTACATACGTGCACTTGCCTTCACACCATAACCTAGTTCATGTAACCTTTACCTTAGTGTGTCCTGTGTGTACTGCCATAGCCACACGTAAAAGTGGTTTTGTTCTGCTTGACTTTATTTTGTTGTTTGTCTCGAAGGAAGTGATGAATTGGTTCAGCTGTTTATATGTTTATATCAAAAGAAATGTCTCAAAGCACTTAGGAAAGCTGTTTAATTAAACAATTATTTAAAGATTTTAGATGTGTTCAAGGCTTTCTGCTTCTAAATTAGCAAGCTGCTCTTTCTTTCAGTGGGCTTCATGTTTCTTTGTGTTTTCTCATTCTCTGCTGACAGGTTTACATTCAATTCAGTCTTGATGGCACAAAATAATTGTACTTCTACGGCAGAGTTGAGCAAATTCAGACAATATTAGAGTAAAATAACTGAAGTAAGATTGCACTATTTCTGCTGAGTTAAACTCACAAACCGATAGAAGGCATGGCTGTCGCGCCTTTTACAAGCTTCCTGGAAATGCAGCGCAGGGCACCTGCAAGTTACTATTTCCGCTGACAGTAGTGTAGGACTGAAGGATTCTGGAGTTATTTTATAGTCTGTAGTGTTCTGCTTGTTGCGTTAAGCAGGATGCATTTTGTCTCTGAGGCTCTTTCAACCACTACCCTGATACTCATGGGAAACCTGTGGTCTCAACTAAACCTATGCTGTGGATTTCATTCGGGCCCTCCTCCTTTTGTAATGGGATGATTGGACATGCACAGTATCTTCAGTGCATAGGCCTTCCAGCCTAGAACAGCCATGAAAGAACCGACAACACGGGTCTTCAACATCTCCTGTCTGAGAAGACAGGTCTCATAAAACAGAAGCAGAGCGACTTAAATCTTCAAAGGGGAGAGAGAACGACGTGGCGATGTCTGGAGGAATAACACAGGCACATGCTATGCTCTAATGAACTACATGGACTGATTTGGGGACCCCCCACCCCAGCCCGGTCTGCTCATTGGCCTATCAGAAAGGCATACTATCCAAGACAGAGCAAACATATTTGTAATGATGCTTTTAAAAAAAATCAGATTATAGAGTCCACATTAAAAAGCCACCTTGCCTCTGTTCAGTGTCGATATGTATTACCCAGCCCAAAGGTTTTTGCAAATACTGTGGGGTTTGTAATAGCCCATGATAAACCCACTTCAGCAAACATCTTCTTGGCAGAGTTACACGTTAGAGGGGTAAAGAGCTACAAACACAAACATGTCTACTGTAAATTGCAAGCTGAAAGAATATTTAAAGACAAGCTTGTTGCATTTGAGCAGCCGCCTCCAGAGCTGTTTTAGGGGCTGGGGTGAAGGAAAACAATCCTCCAGCCTCACCTTAGTCCTGTGTACTCCTCCACACTCGGTAGGTTAGTTTGCAGCCCGCGGCCGGGAGCCTTTAGCGCCCGTAGGTGGCGCCCCTCGTCCGTGCTTGCGCATCTCGCGGCTCTCCAGGCGCAGCTCGGAACCCCGCGTGTCTCCCCGGGTCTTCAGAGCCCAGAGACTGCGTTTTAATAAATATGCGCGCGTTGGCACCGCGCTCCACAAGCCCCGGGGTTCAGAGAAGCAGACACATAAACCCAGGCGAGGAAGCTCCTCTTTAATTTGCGCCAAAATCCGACGTTTCACAAACGGAGATTTGGAATTGCAGTTCTAAAACCATTAAATTACCAAGCTTTTTCTCCCTTAAAAAAAAAAATACTTTCCTTTTTTTTTTTTTTTTAAACGTCCGTCCCTCCAACCCCTTTAATTATGAAAGTGGCCACTCCGTTCGGGATTAAGACTTGGAGGGACTTTGGAAAAGAAAAGGAATCTGGAAGAAGATCCGAGGGCGCCTAGTTTTAAGAAGGCACCTAGGAAGACTGCGCTGGGTGTCTAGGTGAGAGCCGGACCTGGGCTTGGCAAGGTGCGTGGAGGGAGCCCGAGGGGAGGGGCTGTGGATTCTAGGACGAAAGAAGCGGGGAGTCGGCAGCTGGCAGCTCCGGGCTGTGCCCTCTGGAGTCTGGGGGAGAGGCAGGGACCCAGGGATCCTGTCAGTGAGGTGCGCGGAGGGCGCGCGGGCTGCTGGAGTACACGGGACTCGGAAGAGGCAGGCCGCGCGCAGCGGTGCGGTTCCCGGGCTCGGCACGGCTCCGCAGAGCGGGAAGCGTGTGGGTTCCAGACACCGCGGTGCGCTGAGCAGCGTGGAGCGCCGCGCAGTGTGGGGCTCCCTGGGCGCGTGGGGCCGGGGCGTGGTGTGCTTGCGGAGCCCAGCGGACCGGGAGGAGAGGAGGCAGGGCGGGGCGGCGCGGTTATTGGCCAAGCTCTGGGAGAAGGGTCGTGCTCCGAGGTGTCCTCCTCCCTCTTGCCTCATTTTCTCTAAGCAAACCAACTTCGCGGACCTCGGTGCTCGCCCATCATGGATGTTCCAGGTAACCCACCCCATCCCTGAGCTCCGGGATCTGGTTGCTAGTTGCCTTTTTTTGTAATGCTTCACCAGAACCTTGAGTAATGTGAGTGCTGGGGGTTCAAGAGAGGAGAGTCGGCCGGCGGAGTTGGGGGTGGGAGGTGGTCCGCTATCCTTTGTGAAGGAGCTGCAGACAGGGTATTTATTGAAACCCAACTTCTCTTTTCTTAGAAAGAACACTGGAAGAGTTGCTCGGAGAGCGTGGGCGGCGAGGGGAGGGCTCTTTCTGTCTGTGTTCCTGGGCTGGGTATTGGAATGGCCTCTCTGGGTTAGCTGAAGAAGAGGGGACCGGCTAAAAGTGCCAACCCGCGTAAGTTAGCAGAAAGGTGCAGAAGAAAGGGAGTGGGGTACAGAGACAAGAGCCTGCAAATGAGTAAAATCCCGGGATTCTGGTGGTGCTGGAATCGGCTCTTGTCTTTGCCAGAGAGAGGACTCCGCCAGGCTCTCCTAGGGGGCTGGCCAGCGGCTGCAGGGACATTGGAAGTGGGTGTTAGAATTTCGCTCCTCACCCACCCCCATCCCGCCTTTCTCTGTTCTGTGCTTTCCTTTTTCTTTTTAATCTCACCCGCCCAAGGAGCTTTCTGTAGTTTTTTTCTTTGGGGATGGGGGGTAGATTCTTTTTATCCGATAAGGAGTGTTTAAAAATTACTTCCTGGGTAGAAAAATAGAGGAAAAAGGGGGGGGGGGCGGAGAGAGGAAGGTTTTCTCCTTGTGGCTGTCCAGAAAGCCACCGAAATTAAGCTGATGAGGCGTCATTTTTTCCCCTTTGACTTCATTTAATTCCTCTAGTTGTGTTGGAATGAGTAGGCAGGGGGCGACGGTGATGACGCCGTCCTAGAGGTCCCCAACCCTTTTTACAAGGTCCTACAGAATCTTAGCCCAGAACCCCAGGTTCGGCGCAAGATTCAGGAATCTGTTTGGACTTGCTGACTGGTGCGACAGAGCTTTCTCGGATCCATTATGCTACATCTGGAATGGAGATAACTTTGGGGGACCCAGGGGATGGCCATCCCGAAGGGGCTAGAGAGCACCAGCCACTTGCCCCCCTATGCACACCTTCCTGCCTAAGGATTTGGGTTCTTTGCCCTGACAGGTCCGCTGGTGCCTTCCTTCTGAGAACCATTTGGCCTTGACCGTCTCAGCCAGCCGAGGATCCAGCCTAGAGAAGGCTACTGCTCCCGTCCTGCGTGTTCCAGTGCGTACCCGGGCATCCCTTCGGCCCCGGTCGGCCTTGGCGTCCTCGGGGCGCCCCCCAGCCCAGATGCCCGCGCCTGGCCGGGACCCCCCGAGGGCCACCGCTGAACATGCCCGGGCGCCGGGGGGCGCTGCGTGAGCCAGCCGACTTTGGCTCCAGCCTGGGGGCGGCGCTGGCCCTGTTGTTGCTGCTGCTACCTGCCTGCTGCCCTGTGAGGGCTCAGAATGACACGGAGCCCATCGTGCTAGAGGGCAAGTGCCTGGTGGTGTGCGACTCCAGCCCATCGGGGGACGGTGCCGTCACCTCTTCCCTGGGCATATCTGTGCGCTCAGGCAGTGCCAAGGTGGCCTTCTCCGCTACTAGGAGCACCAACCATGAGCCGTCAGAGATGAGCAACCGTACCATGACCATCTACTTCGATCAGGTTAGGCTGACGTGCTCACCCGCGGATGAGTGGAGAACTGGCCGGTGTGCCCAGCTATCTAGGGCTCCCTGCATCTCCAGGTGGAATGCCAGGCTGGTTTTCTCCACCTCTGCCTTGCCCTTACATGGCTTCTTTTACTACTATACTTTCTTGGAGTCCCCCTTGAACACACTGTAGAGTTTGTTTTTAAACACCAGCTCTCTTGGCAAGGATTACTGAGAGCCCTGTAAGGCTCCCCAGGCTTTCCAAGGGTCTGGTAAAGCTGATGATAGGAAATACATTTCCCTGAAAGAAAACCTAGTGTTCTTTCCCTTTTGCTGGGGGCAAGGCAGTGTTTGTGGTGACCAATCTTCAGACATCTGGGGAGAGGGGTTCCTCTTAAAGATGCTGCGTGTAAGAGAGTTTCTCATTCAAAGAGGAGTCTGACAGAGGGCTGAACCTATTGCCTATATTGTGGGATCCAGTGACAAGATGTTAATTTTCAAGAAAATAAGTGGGAAGGATGGGGAAGGCAGCAGAGTTTGTGCTCTGCTTATATACCAAAACAAAGTGGCCGTGTATCTGCTGTGCACAGGAAATGAAACTTTTGCCAGATGTCCATATAGCATGTTCAAATATAAGTGCATAGCATGACTATACATTTAACAAGACAAAGGCCCATGGCTTAAGTGGCTTTAAGCCACTTAATTTCTGGCCTCTGGGCCAGCCAACCAAGGATTAGGGAAATGGATATGTAAATGTTTCTCTGGGTGGTGACCTTTCTGTGTACTCTCTTCTTGTGATTCCTATCAGTCTTCAGAAATTGAAAAGATGAGGGTGGTTTTCATACTTTTTCTAATCAGCTAATGCTCTTGCCAAAGGGCTTTGTGTAAAATGGATTCCTGAAACATCACTAGACACAGATGGAGTTACTATCTACTGGCTTTCCCTCTGTCCAGGAGCCAGCTTCTAAAAACATTTATAGCCAGTGCACACACTTGATCTCTTTTTAGACTGTTGTATTCATTTTAAAAATCATGCATTTGAGGGTTTAGGGAAGTTGCTTTAATAAGCAAAAATATTTCATTTCATTGTTTCCAAATAAGACAGCATAATATAAGCATAAATATAACCCATATTCTTTTTTATCCATTATTATTTTACTTTTATTTTTTTAATTATGGTGTCCTACAGATAATACTCACAGTCGTTTCAGATCCACTGATTTCTGGAGTTGTCAGGGAAATTCCGATACAAGGTCAAATCATAATAGAAATCTTGCTTTTACAGACAAATTAACTTTGCCTGGCTGTAAGTGAGGGAGATTGTAAGCGAGGGAGACCCTCTGCTCAGGGCCTGGCTGCGTGTCTTTTCATTCACATAAAGTCTTGAATTTACATGTTTCCAGAATTTAAAATCCGCACGGAGGGGGTGAGATGGGGAGGGGAGTGCAGGCAACTCAAAGGGCGTGCAAGGGAGGGCTTCCTTCTCCAGTGAAGAACCCTGGGGATCACTGAGCACAGACGTCAGAGGTACTTTGTCCTCAGCAATGGAGCTGAGTGCCTGTGCCTGTGAGACTCCTGCCCAGGAGTGCGCTGAAGTGGTACTCACAGCACGATGAAGATGCAGTGTTTCCCAAGCCATGCCGGCAGTGGTTACCTGCAGTAATTCACTGTGCACTGGGAGTTTGTGTAGCCTATACAGTCCTGTAAAAAGTAACAGCCAGGGCAGTGGAGCTTTACTTTCTGATCAGGTAAAAGACAGTCCAGGGTTCTGGTGCTCCTTCCTGGCTGTTTGTTCTGTAAGCATAAAACACCAGCGGGTCATTTTATTATTTTAAGGAACTTGGGGTTTTGCAGGAGGAGAGATGGGAACAGGATGTGGACAAAGTAGCCAGATTCTATTTTGAACAGAACAGGAGTGAGGTGAGGAGCTTGATTCTCTTTACATTCTGCTGTGACCGGCAACTCTTATTCCTCCTTTATTTGAGGGAACTACAGGCAGGGCCACATAATCCTCTGCTGATAGCTAATTGTGTCCTTAATCTCGCTGCTGTGGGGTTTCCTGGGTTTGGACTAGTAGTGCCCAGGCTACCAGTGCAATCCTCTTTGTTTGTTCCGGCGTTTTACACGCTCCCAACACTCAGCCAACAGAGCGAGCACCACTAAGAGGAGAATGAAGTTGAACAGGGCAGCCAGTGTTGGTTGGCAAACTCATCGTCCAACGCTATTTATAAAGCACCTCCTGTATACTGCTAGAGGTTGGAAGACCCTGGACATAGAAACCTCACAGAAGCCATTCTCTTACTCCTACTTAAGTGAGCTCATGGAATGGACTGGTCTGCTACTCCACCACCTTTTCTTTCTCCATTCCATGTGAAGTTTTAATTATTAAACACAGCCTCAGGTTGAACTCCCTATGACCCTCTCCCTAAAAAAAAAAAAAAAAAAAAAAAAAAAAAAAAAAAAAAAAAAAGTAGGCTGAATTTACAGGTTTCTTCTTGGCTTGACTGTCTCCCATCTCTCTCCATTCTCTGTGTATCATCATACAAAACTTACATAGACTATATGAAGGTACAATTAAAATATACTTCCGAAGTTTTCATTAATTAGAAACCATGAGAATACCTTTGGAATACATTTCTGCCACGGAATGTTTTTGATTTTGGTACTCACTGCTGCTGGCATTGTTTGAGTAACACTGTGGACTTAGTGGCACCTGTTCTCCATACCAATAAGCCAGCTAACATTGGTGGTTACCTGAAAGTGTGGAGAAAATGCAAGCCTATTAAGGTATGCTGTTCCCTCTTCTTTTTCAGGTTTTAGTAAACATCGGCAACCACTTCGACCTTGCCTCCAGTATATTTGTAGCACCACGAAAAGGGATCTATAGCTTCAGCTTTCACGTGGTCAAAGTGTACAACAGACAAACAATCCAGGTGAGCCAGTTTGGAAGATGAGCCCTTGAATGCTTGGTAAATGGGGGGTTGGGCTCTGAGCCATCTGGAAATCCTATCTTGCAGGTTCCAGGGGTTTGGGCTCCAAAAGTTAGATGGAGGTAACAGTCCTTAGGGGAGGAAGAGAACAGAATGTGGGAAGGAGGTGGTCTCTGATCTGCTTAGCCTTCCTCTCTGCCTTTGTAGGTCAGTTTAATGCAGAATGGCTACCCGGTGATCTCCGCATTCGCAGGAGACCAGGATGTTACCAGGGAAGCAGCCAGCAATGGTGTTCTGTTGCTTATGGAAAGAGAAGACAAAGTTCATCTCAAACTGGAGAGAGGGAACCTCATGGGAGGCTGGAAATACTCCACATTCTCGGGCTTCTTGGTGTTTCCTCTATAGACATGCAGCCACCCTGACAGTGGGAAGGTTTTGATCAGGAACCAGGGATCTGCCCTCTGTAACACCTTGAACTTGTCGGAATAGGATGGCTTGGGCTGACCTTCATCAGATTGTTGCCATAGAAGAATGATTTTCTTCTAAAGCTCCAGTATTTTCTTTGACTATTGACAATTCCTCGGGAACCTGGCCTCTAATTAGTTTTAGACGACAAGGTCTTAAGGAGAAATGAAATTATCGATTTGAGCAATTTGTACCTGTGATTGTAAAGTCGATATCGGATTTTATTGTTGGAACCACTGACTTACCTTCTATTGTTTGTACGTTGTATCCTTGTCCTGATGACATAGATGCTGCTGACCCTCAGATGGATTGCACGCTGCAGTCAGGGCTTAACGCAAGAGCCCAGCAAAGAACCACCTACCAGAGAGTCCTTGACTTGTGTCTGTGTGTGTGTGTGTGTAGCCTTAAGAAAAAGAATGGCTTCATTTTCATTCTGTAGCTTACCCCTGGGGTCTTGGGAGGATGGGGAGGGAGCTGGGCATCGGGGACCTGTCAAAAGTGCTTTATCCTGAGAAGCAAATTTTGCACGACTGAACTGCAACTTTTGTTTTGTATTGTCAGTGATTTTCTGTTTTCCTCTGGAAGCTTCCTTTTCCTTCCTCAGGTTTCACACCTCAAACCTACTTAGTTTTCATGCTGGGGTCCTGGAGAGAAAATAACAACAACAACAAAAAACTTATGTTCAGTACTTGTATGAGATCAAACAAAACAAAACAAAATCTGCATACTTTGTTTTGAATGAGAGGAAACCAGGGGGTTGGGGAAAGAAGAAGAAGAAGTCCTTCTTTTAAAGTAAGGATAGCAGATAGACCATTCTGCATATTCTTCCCTGGAGTCTCTCTCAAATGCATCTTCAAACTTGCAACCAAGATTTTATTTATTTTTTTTTTTTTAAATTTATACTCTGGGATCCTTTAAGAGCCTGGCCTTCCTCATTGGTCATGAATCCCTTAAAAGTGGAGCTGAGGTGACCCAATCCCCCCATTGCTTTTGCTCCTGATGTGTCTCAGTGGTGACTTAGATCTGCCTCTGAGTGACCACACAATGACCAGATGCTTCAAAGAAACAGGACCAGCACTTCTTCCTGGAGACCTTCCTTTGATCTGTCCATGGAGAGGGATGTGTTGACGCTCTGTGGATGAACACCTGGCCAGAAGCCACCTGGACGGGAAGTCACAGCCATTGAAGGTACTGGCTGCTGTACCCCATCAGTGGTTTTTCAAATCCTGCTTGTTTTGGCATCTCCTGCAACAACACTATTCAGTTGCAGCTGAGAGAACTGGTGCAGTATGTGTGCGCCAAGGAAATGTCACTAATCCCAAAGCAATCAAAGATGAGACCTCAAACTGGATGTCAATTTGTCCTTTGTGTAACAATGTAACCAAAATATTGACTATAAAACTCATAATTTAAGATACAGAATAAACGGGTTTGATGTCTGTCTTGCTCTAGTCCCTCCTCATCGTCTCTCTCAAAATGATGGGGAGGTATAGGATAAGTACCAAGGAACTGAGGATGTTAAATTTATGTTGTGATTCTTTATAAAGGACACACACACACACACACACACACACACACACACACACACACACACACACAAATACTGATGCAGCTATAGGTTTTTTCTGGGGGTGTATTACTCACTTAGACATATTCAGTTTATACTTACGTATTTTTTCAAAGAGTAAGATTTTGGAGGAGAGAGCTAAAAGACAAAATTAAGGCTTAAGAGGTAACTAGTAATATCAAAGATTCGAACATTTGAGAAGGTTCAGTTGTTTTCAACTTGTACGTGAGGATGAATTTCATGGTCAAAGGTTAAGTGCAGGAGATATTGTGTAGTGATAGTTGAACTAAAGTCCTCAGCTTTTTTGTCCTAACGTGAACAAGGAATTAGAATAAGAAGCTTTATTCTATTAAAATGATGTTGTCTGGTGAGGAGGGAAAATCAACCACAAAGCATTCCGGGGTACTCTGACTCTGGCTTGAAAACATATTTCTAAGTGTGCGCTGTGTTTATGGATGCTGGGGACATAAACAGAAGGCAGATGGAGTGTGTGTCCCTTGTGTTTTGTTATTCTTAGATATTTTAATTCTCTTTCCCTCATTTCCTTAACTTCATGCTCACTTTAAAACAAGAAAGGAAACCTCATCTGAAGACAATATTACATGCCAGAGATTGGAAGATGTAGGAGCCCTTGCTATTAATATTTACATCCTTTAATAATACATAATGCACATATTTCATTGTATTTATATCTTTATCGTGTACAGATTGCCACTGGGTAGTACTGTCTCATAAATAAGTTATTAAATTAACCAATATAAATGTATTTCAGGAGTTTATTTTCTATTAGAAAATCAACTTCCTCCTGATGGTTGTCCTCTTAGCCTTCTTTCTTTTCCTGCAATGCAAATGCCAGAAAGTACATTAGTCCGTAGCCCTCCTGGTAATGTTCTGAGGTGGTGTTCCACCTAACGCAGCATCGGCCTCTGCCACACCCGTATAGAAATTATGTAGATTTATTACTTGCTTGAGAAATAAAACTTAGCTAAATCAAGTTGTATTGAATATCAGAATATTGACTGATGTGTTATAAAATACATCAGTCAAAACAATACCTTTGCTGAAAATTCAGTTTGCTTGTGATATCCTTGAGAGATGTGACACTGGCAGACTTGTCCCAGAAGAAACATATTTGTCAGATCAAAAGCTAAGATGTGTTTTTTTGTTTGTTTGTTTTCTTGTTGTTGTTGTTTGGATTAAGAAGAATGGTCTAACTTTTCTAGAAAGAGCTCAACACTCCTGACTCCTACCCTCAGTGTTCATATCTGCACAGTCAACACTCAGACTCCATATGGTCAGTCCACCCCACAAGGCTGTTGAGATAACCTCTCAGAAGTTCTTGAGAATGAAGGGAGAGCATGGGGGTAATAGGTGGGAGTTTACAGCTGGGAGAGTGTTTTCATAAAAGTATGTTTTTCAATGTGCCGTGGTAAAGATCACTTAAATATCTGACAGGAAGATGATTGTGCATGGAAGTGCATTTCCAAAACTCTCAAAAGACTGCTAAAGCTGTGGTGTTATGTTGAAGTTTTCCTCAATTTAATTTTTTAGGGATAAGATAATATCAAAATCTACACATCTGAGTCTATTTGCCTTCTCAGTTATGTTGTTTGGCTGTCCCTTGTGGTTCATGCTGACCCTCATCTTCTAATATATATTGCCAAATTTTATAAAACATATATTGATAATCTTATAAAAGCAGCATAGATAACATCAGCATAGCCAACATACACCTTTTTAATGTTAGCTTTCTTTCATTGATAAATGTTAGCTCTCTTAAGCTGTAAATGCTTTTCAGGAAATGCTCCTCTCTTAAAATATATTCTCAGTTGACATACAACCCTCATGACTGAACTCTAGATCCTGAAAGATTGTATTTACCATCTGTGATTCCTGAGACAGTTTTGTACCCTAGTATTTTTGTTAAACTTTTGTGTACGGCATAGATCATCTACATTTTTATGGTATGTACTTTCTATACCTCCTCCTATCAAAGCTGGTGAAGGAAACAGCTACTGAATACTAGAATAAAAACTCTTCCATGTATAGAGATTTTGTAGATTTATTTACTTTCTTGAAAAAAAAGACTTAGCTAACTCAAATTATATTGAACTTCAGAAGAATTTTACAATATGTAACACAAAACAAGACCTTTGCTGAAAATTGAGTTGCCTGTCACGTTTTCTTAATATCGTTGAAACCACAGTGGTCACATACTCAGTGACTGTTATGTAGCATAGATACCTTTGCCTTTGAACACAGTAACATACACTTTATTTTAGTGATGATATAATAAAAATATATGGATTATCTGTATTTTCCTGGGATGTAGGAATATGTAAGAGAAATATTTGACAAATTATCTTCTACAAACAAAACAAAGCAGGGTTGCTGCATCATGTTTCAACTGTAGCAAAAGGAGCAAAGAATATTCTGTCAGTTATGTGACTATATTTTCCACTCTATTATTATTTTTTCATAATATTTTTTATCGATTACAAAGAAACAAATACTGTAATAAGATGATGTTGCTGTTAATAAAATAGTTAATGTGTGTTTAAATTCCTACAGCATAAGAAGAATATAGCAATTAGTCCAAATATGCAAATGAATGAAAAACTTCTGCTATTTTTTGAGATGGTGTAAATATAGAAACAGGGTCCATTGAGTTATTCTAAAGGGTGATCTTTTTCATCTCATGGAAGTACTTGTAAAAATGTAGCAGCATGTTAAGTACAGATTGCGATGAGTTTTTCCCTTTTGCCTTGTCTATGCGAAAATTTCTTTATCTTGATATTATTACTAAAATAGGATATAAAATATTTTTTTAATTTAAGGACAAACACTTTAAATTCTCTGGAGAAGTTTAATGTTACTTTTCTTAGCATTTAATGAGGAATTACATCAAATACCCTAAAGTAAGTTAACATCCAAGTGTTATATTGGTTTGAAACTTCTATTTTCCTGTGTTCCATAACTCTTTTCTGACATACTATAAGCTGATGAACCACAAACATTAATTAAGACTGTTTATCAGCCTTTCATTTTAAACATTTTTTGTAGACAAAATTCACCAAAAAGTAATGTTTAGTGCTTTGCTGATGGAGGCCAACAACTAAAAAACAAAACATAGCGGGTGCACACGTGTGTGAGCATATATATATATATACATGCATATATTTATATAAATACTAATTTGTATCACAGCTATTCGTGGTGTAACTGGACAGAGTCAGTGTCCACAGCTCTTCTTCCCAAAACATAAAAGTCATGTAATAAGACTTATATGATTCAAAGATTCAGAGAAAAAAAAAAAAAAACTTCAAGCACACTTACCATGTCTCTGGGTCTATACACTAATATTATATCAAAATATGAATGTTCAGGAAATGAGGTTTTCTTACATTTCCAAACCCAGTAGGATCACTTGCAAATTTTAAGGGCAAAAGCCACATGATTTTACCTCCTGCAGATAATAGAAGTTATGTTCCATCTCCCTAAGTGGGTTGTGCTGTGTATCTCTATCTCTGGCATCATTTACGTGTCTGCAGCCTCATATGTCATCATCTTCATCAGCTCGCCCACATGCACTCAGTGTATAGTGTAAATGAGCTACTTGACAACTTAATTCGGAAAAGAAATCTTCATTCCCTCTTTTTAGTGCCTACAGCAGGACTCCCCAGGGTTAGAATGCTGCATTGAACTCCAGCTAGTCTAACAAACGGAAGCTTCTTACTAATGAGGCAGGACTATCTTGCAGCCTGAACAGCCATGCCTTGGTCTTTAAGACTGTTCCATCCCATGCTTCAGGACGGCCCATTACCGTGTTAGACTGAATGTCAGTTTGGAGGAGACACGGACGTTGCCAACACTTTGGAATGCTGAACTACTATTGACACCAATTTCTTTAACCATCAGAGTGCCCTGGGCTATAGGATGCCCTTTAAATTCTTTATGTTATGATTAAGAAATGAACATTTATTGTGATTCTGGATACATCTTTATTATGAAACACACTAATAGACACAATAAAATTATTGTAACTGTAACTAAGCTAATTAATTGAAATTACTTCTAAAATATATCCACTACAGTAGCTTTATAAGGATTTTAAATATCCAAGCTAGGCTTGTGTGTTCTATCAAACATTTGTCCTTTAATTACTATTTTCACTGCCTGTAACTGTGAGATTATAAGTACCACACTTCCAGAAAGTGGTTTACTACTGAAAACGATAGGTAGGTCATGAAAATGCAATGGTGTTGTCTTTTTGTGCTCCTAAGACCATGTCTGGATGTCACGGTGAAGCCTTTTGTTCTGGTACTGTAAACTGCCAATTGGCAAGAAAAATGGTATCATTCATAGGAACGATCTGGTTGTTAAGGAATAGGGTGTAGGTACTTTCTTTATCATACCCCAGTATTTACCAGTTATTACCTCAGGGCCAGAAAGACGCAGTAGGAGAGGAGAGGAGAACAGACACCCACTCATTGTGGACAGCAGAGCCCACAATCAGAATGAAGAACTTAACAGATGCCAAGATGGGGAGAGAGAGCAGAAGTGTGAGGGACCACAGAAACCATGTTCACAGAGGTGAATAATGTAGTTTACATGTTTTTTACATATGAAGAAGAGAATGTTATGTAGACAATGACTTTAGTGTAGATCTGATCTCCCAGCTACAAACTCCTTGACTGCCTCTCCACCCTATGGTGATCAAGATGGGATCTTTACAAACCCAGAGCAGAATGGGGTTCCTTTGATAATCTTGACAGCACCACAGTTAGAAGTACAGGGAATGGCTGTTGCTTTACAACAAGAAGATAAAAATTTAAGAGGCATTTAATGTAATGCCCTGTTCTTCCTTCTTGT